AACGCTAAAAACGGCCCATATATATGTATATGAAAGAATACACACATGCGACGACTCTAGCCATTGTGAGTCACTCCTTTAAATTATAGTTATTTTTTTCTTATTGTATTAAAAAAATAACGTTCATAACACTTTAGTAAATATTCCGTATATTAACTTAATATATATTACAGACTAGAAGATGACTCGGTGAACTTCATATCATCTATAATTTATTTGAATTTCACTTTGATCAATTATAACAAATCTTCAAAATGCAATTCAATGAGATCACTAATACCTGTTATAGCTGATAGAAGATTCCACACATATGAGATGTGCCACGCCCCCTTTTACAAACTCATTTATATACATATATCTTTCTAAAAGTAACATTGGTAACCCTACCGAGTGGACGTGAAATTTCACATAGTGCAACAAAGTGATAAATCAATCCGAAAAAACAGTAAAAGAAAAGAAAATAATACAGTGAATATTTAACAACAATTGACACTAAGGAGTGCTTTAAAAGTTCTGAGTGAAAGTGGAGCTTGATATTTAAAATTAAAAATTTGTACCTGCGCGAGTGATAAATTCTCAAGTGAGACTCCGCCGAGTTGAAAAGAAACAAACAAAAGTGCTAGCAACAAAACAGTAGTGGATGTACAGGCAGCCTAAAAGTATGCTATGTTTTGGGCACTTCTAAGTATTGACACTACTATTTATATTTAAAAAATAAGAGATAAAAATACCCCAAAAACACTCAGTTTCAAAATGCCCTTTAATCGTACCCCTCCCAAAGGGGGGAGGGCAGGAATCATCTCAGCCACAACAACAACAGCATAGACAACAAAGGTCACAACAGCAACAAGAATCCCAACTTCCTCTGCAGCCCGAAACACCGCAAAAATCACAGACACAACAGGAAAAGCAACAGCAACAACCAGAAAAGAAAGAACAGAAACAGCAACAACAACTGACGATCTCAAGACAATCACCAAATTCGCGGAGCTCACAATGCCCCACCTCGGCCAATAGTAAAAATCCAAATATCCAGGATCAAATTGAGCTACTTCAAAAGCAATTACAATTACTGTACCAACAGCAAGCCTCAAATGATAAACCTACCCCAGGTAAGGAATGGACCACAGTAGAACCCAAAAAAAGGCCCCGAGAAAGCCCAGGTAAGCCATCAAATACAAGCAAAACTTGATAAATACTGGCTAAGCGAATCCCAGTCTAAAGAAAATAGATTTTCATCTCTTGAAATAGAAGATGATGAAGACCCAAAGCCCAAAGAAAATAATCCCAAGCCCCCACCAATCTTCGTTGATAAAGTAAGCAACATTACCCCCCTAATGAAGCTTTTATCCGAAATTGCTCCAAGTCTGTACGACTTAAAGCTCATAAGCAATGAGCAAGTTAAAATACAAGCAAAAACTCCCGAGGCCTAAAAAACAATTGTTCAGCAACTAGAGCAAAAAACACTGAGTTTTATACATACAAACCAAAACAAGAAAGAAATTTCAAAGCTATACTCAGAAATATGCACTCGTCTATTGGCACCGAAAAAATCGCTGAAGCCCTACAAAATCTCGGCCATATCCCTATTATCATTTACAATATGAAACACAGAAACACGAAAAAAACCGCTATCAATGTTCATTGTAGAGCTAAAAGCAAACCCTAACAACAAGGAAATATACGATATCAAATATCTCTTCACCACAAAGATTGTATTTGAACCCCCACGCCCAAAACGCGAAATCCCGCAATGCGCTAACTGTCAACAGTATGGACACACAAAAGCATACTGCCGTAGAAGACCGGTATGTATTAAATGCGCTGGCCCCCACTTGTCTGCAGATTGCTCGCGCAAGACAAAATCCAACGATGTTAAATGTGCTCTGTGAAGGAAATCACCCAGCAAACTATAAAGGCTGCATGGTGTACAAAAATCTGCAGAAACTTTAATACCCACCATTAAGAAGAATGGAGGACAACAATCCCAAAAGTACCAGCCAGCAGCAATCAGCTCCACTTTCACCCAATCGAGTCTCGCAACCGCCCCGAAATATACTTTCTTACTAGGGACACGATATCGAACCGAAAGTATCGATATGGTACTCATTTAAAGTATCGCTGGAAAAATATCGGGTACCCATTAATATCGGAATAAAAAGACTCGATATCGCAAATATCGATATCAAAATCCAAAAAAAAACAGAAATATCTGAAAAAGTGATTAGAAACCTCGGAGCGTATTTCGTCCATGAAAAACAGCTTCTCATAAAAACGCCCTTTGTGGCACAACATCAAGGCGCACGCAACAAATCGGAGGGGAAGCTCGGCCAAACGCTAACATAGGCTGACTTCCAAAACGTCAATTGCTTTGCATACGTACAAAGTATAAGGTTCCATAACGTCGAACAACAAAATATTGACAATGTATATTGTTCCAAAACGCAGCCGAAAAGTTTTCGAAACGCATCGCTGGAGCAATCAGCGTATCAGAAACAAAGTTGATGCTTCGTTTGTTATTGGTTAGCATTGGTGTTTTAGAAATGGAAAATTCAGAAAAATTGTTCATTGCTATATTGAATATTTAAAATATGCAATGTATATGGTTGCAATGTGTCGCAACTCTGCATATACAAACAGTTTGAATACCGCAGTATAACAGTTTCCAAACATTGTATTGATACGTTTTGGAAGTCAACCATATTTTATAAGCGTTAATGTATTATTTTTACACGCAGAGATTGAGGTGTTGACTTAAAACACCGGGACCGCGTGTTCAAATCCCGCCACATGCAATCCTAACGATAGTAAAAAAATTTCTCTTCTTTAAAGCCCAATTTATCGGGAAGAGTTGATAATCAGATAAGTCTTGAAAGCAATTTTTTCGCATTCTCTTTTGTGTTTTCTATTTGCTCCCAGACGCGTCAACTTTTATTGAATTCAAGTTCGTGGTTCTTTAAATGGGAAGTATCTGCACTCTTCCCCTTTCTTCTCACCTCCTTCGCCTTGGAACGAGCAGACTTTAAAGCAAGACTTGACGTGTCTGAAAGCTGACTTATTTGAGTTTATGACATTCGATACATACTAGCAGCCCTATTCTGTTGCCCTCACAAAAATCACCACACTCACTATTGTGAGGTTTCTGACTATTGTGAGGTTATCCCTATGCTGGCGTAAATTCGAAAGCTCATACGCTCACAATTGTGAGCCAATTTATGATGTACTAATGAGACCCTCACAAGAGAAAAACAGACGATTTTTATTGAGGAAATGTTTTGCTAATTTTCGTTCGCTATCAGTGTCTGTGTTATTGGCAGAGTTATTGCATGTTTTTTCGGCAGTTTCGGAAGAGTTAGAGCAGGCATAGGATTTAATTTCCATACAAACTTTTGCACCAAGTTGTGGATTGCAAACTGTGTGAAGTACTGGAGCTACTCCTGCTTTATTCCTTTTTGAATTCGCCTAGGAAATAAATAAAGTCAGTAATTATCAAAAAAATAAATAAATTGCAAAAAAATATTTACTTTTCCTGTTGTTCAGCATCCATCTTTTGTATTTATTTTA